GGAATCAATCAGTATGTAGACGATGAAAAAAGACTGTCTGTTTTAGATCCTGGCTGAGTTGATGAGTCTTATCTCCTTTAATTTCCCATCAAAGTGTCAGGAAGATCACTCGTTTCCCAAATTAAACATCATTCACTGGTAACTTATTCAAGAGATTCCAATTAGCTGAAAAGTGGTTCTTCATGATTGTGTTCCCCCCACCTACCCCCCTTTCCCATTCAGATACTTTAAAGAAAGCCTTAAAAGGAGAAAGCGGCACTCCCTCCCCCTATCCTTCTTTATCCAGTATGTGTGCTGCTGCTAGTGAGCTCTATCAAGTGGTATAAATCTTTAATTTTGGAGATCAGCATTAATGGCCGAAACAGCCTCAGTTCTGGGCTCCACTCCCTGCTTTTCATCCTCTCGGCTGGAGGAATGCTGGGAGGGGAGGGGTGTGTGTGTNNGGGGGGGGGGGCTACACGATCGTTTGCTCCCATAAGTACACAAAATTAGCTGCTTATCAGTTGATCTCCGTACATGATCCTTCAGAAATCTTTTCTGCGCATCCAAGGCTGCTGCCTTCGCCAAAGCTGTCTATCCCTGCTGTCTCCATGGAGTGGGGGTGATGGAGGGAGCTCTAATTAAATCACTTTTCAAAGACAATAAGGCCCAAGCTTCCTCCTCTTCCTGCAAACTTCCCCTGTCACCAGCAGACACTAAGCCTCAGCCTTTTACCTCACAGCTCTGTGGCGTGAACAAAATTGAATTGTCATTAATCTGTTTTAGCCTCCTGTGCTGCTCATCGCCTGTTTTATCAAAATTCTGTGAGCTAAAATAAACAGGGAGGCAGACAGAGGAAAGAAGAGATGGAGGGAGAAATACTGGGTGGAGAGGGCAGCAGTGAGCACTCGAAGGCTGCTTTTGTTTTGATGTATCCCCTCGTTTGTTAACTTGGCTTTCTCCTAATCAATCAAGTACCAGACACATCATTTTGCTGTTATATTTTGACTTCTTTTGCCGAATGCAAACATCAGTTAATCTCCAGGCTGTTTTATAATGTTGCCATTGCCCCGTATTTCTCCACATTAATGAATGCAGGCTGTGGAATTAGGCTGGGCGCTGCCTGTTAATGGGGCCTGTGAATGCTGGAGAGTGACTGCAGCTCTCGTTAGCCGAGCCGGCGGCTATTGATTGCGGCAGGCCACTGGGGGCTCCCTACCTGCGGTTGACTTTGTACTTCTGCAGGAGTTGTAAGGGTCTGCTGAACAACAGGGACCACGCACATCTCAAACAAGGTCTATGAAAAGCCTATCAATTAGGCTTTGAAGGTCAAGCAAACTCTCCCCCCGCGCTCTCTGTCTCTGTCTCCCCACACTTGCTTGGTCTTGAGAAGGCGGTATCTCTTCTGCTCTCTCCAAAATACATCTGAAGACTCCATTCAATTAAATATCTCTCGGCTCCAGCTGCTCCCTAAGTGAAAGGTCAACTAAGTCCAGGAGGCTAAAAGAAAGGCTTGGCTTCTTCACAACCCCTCCCCACAACAAAGCCTCCCCCAAGCAGGCGCTCTCGCTCTTAATGATACCCACTGGTCAATCCCTAACTAGCGGTGACAGTTACCCCCAGAAGCACCACTGCAGACCAGAGCCAATCGATCAGGAAAAAAAAAATACATATAATGATAACCCGCAGACATAATGTCAAGCCCTTGCACTGTCCCAATTGGTTGACATTCAGGTAGATAGTGGGGAGAGAGAGTTGGCCAGACATCAAAAGCGAGTTGCAGCAGTGAGCTGCCTCGCTCTCTTGTGCCCACTGAGGTGGGTTAACCCTCTCACATGAACTCTAATTATCCACTCTGTGGCCTCAGGGAGTCCCAGAGGGATGGCCAGCGAGCCCAACGACACACACACACACTCAATAACCATCAACACAAACAGCACCTAATTGAGTGAAATTGGGCCTCATTATTTAAGCTTTAGTGCAGCCATGTTGAAAGTGGTGCTAACTGTGTGTGGATCCAGGGATGCCGCAGTAGTCCAGTTTCCAGGGCAGCAGTGGAAGAAAGAAGAACATTAAAAAAATAAAATAAATTAAAG